GGTCGATGTAGGGTCGATGTAGGGTCGATGTAGGGCCAGGAGTATAGGAGTTAGGAGCCATCCAACAAATATTGGAAAACAATCGTATCGTGTACGAGGAACAGAGAAGTATTCGCATTCATTGGTGCTACAATCAATGGCAAGATCGTTACGATGAGTTAAAAAAGTCCCTTGGGAAAAGCATCCGATTTCAAAGAGGTTTGCCCGAGTTGTCCGAGGATCTGAGTGAGATTAATACCCGTTACAACAACGTAATCATACTGGATGATTTGATGGCCGAAGCGACAGACAGTCCTGCCGTAGCTCGATTATTTACCCAGGGACGTCATAGAAACGCTAGTGTTATCCTTTTGCTTCAGAATATGTTTCCTAAGGGGAAATTCAATACAGATATTAGCCGAAATGCCCAATATCTTGCTCTCTCCCGAAGTCCTAGTGATAGGAAACAAATTGGAATTGTTGGAGAACGAATGTTTGATAAGAATAGAATCCACTTTATGAACGCCTATTACAAAGAGACTGAAAAACCGTTTGGATACTTGTTGGTGGATAACAAGCCTGATACACCAGCAGATAAGCCAGTTCTTGGGGCCGTGTTTGGCGACTGCCGTGTTTATCTCTTCGCCACCCAAACTACAGTGAACAGTACTAGTGTCGAGCCCACACCGGTCGAAACCAAACCTAGAAGGAAACAATCTAAACATCAGAGGCATATTACTTGGTCGGATGCAACTATCTCCGAATGGCAAAACTACACCAAGGATGCACAGGTGGTCCGTAACATTCCCGATGGATATGTTATCACAGAGGGGAATAAGTCATCGCGCAATATTTTTAATCCTAGCCATCCAGGTGTCTACATCGGCGGAGAAAATTATTGGCCTATCAAAATAATGAACCAATCGGGTCGTATGAAGTGGGTGAATCTGCACGAAGACGAGCCAACGGTCCGAAGTTTTGCTAAAGAAACCATAGCGAATGAACAATTAAACCAAACGACTCTGATTACAAAAAACATTTAAATTGTTCTGCGTAATTTAAATAAAATCAAACACATTATGCTCTAAAAAGTAGACCACATTAACTTTGTAAACGTCTCGAAGAAATAAATGTATTTTAAGACTGAATTCTTGTGTAAACTTTTGGCTGCAAAGCGCTCCTGTCTTGTCTAAATCGCTTTCTCTCTTCCCGCACGGATAACCCGCGACGCCCGCGCAATGAATATCCTAATCTACCCGTATTTATCCACACAGTAGGAAAATGCAAATCTCTGATAAAAGTTAATCCTTTAATTAGTGTCACCCTAACAACACATAGCAACCGGCGTGCTTTAATATAGCTTAAATTTATTAACCTTATCCGAGTTTTAGTACTTTAAAAAACTAGCAATAAAATATAGAAATCGCTTGACAATTATATATCATAGCCTCTATTTTCCATGTGTTTATATAACTCTAAACAGCAACATATTCTCTCGTATATAGACTTCATATGGCAGACCGGGATTTAAATATTAGTTTAATTGTAGATACATAACTCTTTACTGCATGCTATTTCTCAGCGTTTTGACGCTTGATAATATTTATATATTACTTAACAACAAAACATTTAGCTGTATACCCCGAATATATAAGTTTTAGATATATAACACTAATGCTATTTCTCAACGTTTTGACAATAACAGCAAAATGCTAGAGCTGTACTTATAAAACTCCAGACAACAACATATTCTCTTGTATATATACCTAACTATTGTATCACACACGTGAAGGGACGCTAAAAAATGCGTAGTCAGCAAGTTTCACACGTCCTTGTTTAAACCTGCCCGCGTGACGTCATTGCATATAATTATGACGTATTGGAATACTAATTACCCTCCACACTCCACCGCCGCACTCCACCGCCGCAAAATTAAGGCTGGAATACTAATTACCCTCCACACTCCACCGCCGCACTCCACCGCCGCAAAAATCCGGGTCGAACGGCCCCTATATTACTACTTACAGAACTATCAATCTTTAAAATAAATAAAGTAGGTATATTATTTTGCTTTCTATGGGCTTTACTTTCATTAAAGTAAAGTTCAACACAAAACTCTTCGTAAAAGTTTTTAAATGTGAATTGAAATTTACTGCTTCTGGCAGATAAACTTTTCAACTCAAGCTTCAACTTCTTACTCGCACTTTGAAATGAAATAAATTTATTTAATTCGTACAGGACACGAATGAAAATAATTTGCTTTCCATTTTATCATGAACTTCTACAAAAGTTAATTTAACTAAGAAACTTTCGCATACAATGCATAGGAAAGGCTTAAACAACAAAAACAAAGTCTATATATTAAATACAAAGTCATACATAAAAAATTGAAACAAACTTGCCTTATACTTTAGGATTTCTTATACTAAACCAATTCTTAATGTTTACGTTTAAAAATTGTAAAAAGATTTTACAATTTGTTATGTGAAACGATTTCCCGAGTCTTCTTACATTTTTTTTTTATATTTTTCCTCCTTCACTCCTGGCGAACAGCCGTATTTTGATATCAGTGAGATGACCACTCATACACCATCATGCCCCCGCGATATTTGATGCACTTTAGACTTCGCTAGTGCGTTCCTTTCCCCGGGTGCAAATAGCCGGGCAGAATTAGTACCCTTGCCCTGGGCTTACGCCTGGAACGACGCTCGGCGCCGTTTGCTCAAGGACAAAGCACATGTCACAGAAGTTGCAGAACTGAACAAATAGCGATGTAAATACTGGGTACGTACTGTAAAAGGACATTTACGGTTACGTACTGTAGAATAAAAAACAAACAATCGTCGAATGCTCGGCCTAACGACAATTTCCGAAATTCATCATCATGTATAATAAAAAACCCATAAACGACGATTTCCGAAACGACCTGACGACAATTTCCGAAATTCATCATCTTGAAATCCTATTTTTTAGGTGTATGAATGCGTTAGCCGCTGCTAACACAAAAACTTTTAAGTTTTAAACTGGTAAACAAAATATATATACTAGCTATTGTAAATGGTGAGCTAAGAAATGTTGCATTGAGAAACACAGCGTTCGTTCTTCACAGCAGAGATTTTGATGGACTTAGTTTGTTCTCACTGGAAAACGATGTAAACGAGTTTAAAACATTGTCAGCCCTGTATATTTTTAATTAATAGATTTTTATCTCGAATGCTGGATCTAAACTATGCCTGATTTATTTCTGTTTTTTACTACGTATCAAACATTTTTGCTGGGCGACTGCGACGCTAACACGGAGGCAGTTTTTTCGTTTAACAATTTCCTAAACAATTAAAGCTTTTCACTGACTGATCGCAATATTTGCTGTTTTCCCAGTTACACACGTTGCAGGAATCGTAGCACAAAAGCAATTGCAGACGCAAACTGTGACTGTATGGGAAACAATTTTAGTTTATGCTGTTGCAATTCGTAGAACAATAAGACTGAGGTCTAAAATTAAAGCTTTTTACACGTATTCCAATGTTTAGTTTATAGGTGTACGCAATTTTGGCGAGATTACTCAGTTCTATTGTTCTGCTTCTGTTTACATAATGTTCGGATATATAGGATTCAGTTTATTATCACGAGTCTAATTTTAATTGCGTGCGCTTCAACGCGACCACAGGGAAGTGATACGGTACAGAGAGGAAACACACGGCAAATTGTGTCACGCCGATATATTCAGTCTAACTACGTATATATAAAATTATATTAATTCGCTATTTTATTCAATTTTGACCATGCAGAGGAAATAACTACACATATTATAGAAGTAAACATGTTTTTTTATACAACTTCAAGAGGTATATTTCGAGGCATTTATATCATTCGCTGCTTTGTTTTTTATATGAGCATCTGAAACCTCCAGCCAGTGCTTTTCACGATCTTAGTAAGGAGTAGATAGGGAAAAAACAACTTACGTACTATCTCTTCTCTGTGACACGACGTAATCACGCAAACAATTGCAAATTATATAGTTATTTTTATTTGGGATACTTTGAAACAAATGTGGGAACAAAATTAGCTTCTAATATTCTATAAACATTTTCAAGCTTATATAAGCGTGGAAATTAGTCCCTTTAATACTAAGCTTGTTTACGTCTCTAGACAATACATCGCACGTCATTCAACTGTTGTTCATGAAAAAATCAACGACATCGCAAAGAACATGAAGTCCATTACCTGTATTGCTTCGGTATTCAATTATACCGACACTGGTCGTTAATAAACGAGTTAAATTTCCATCAATTCTTGGGGGCACAAATGGTGAAAAATAGAAAAGATCCAACTCCAGAAATAGCTTGACTTATCTTCTCCAAGCAAATAGCCTACTAAGATAACATTAAAGTACAAGCTATTAACAATAGCAAGATGAAAACATGTTAAGAAAATAGGTACGAGCTGCGTACATGTGGGTAGCCTGCATTAATTGATGTTAAAGCTGGAGTAATACCGAGGTTGGAGTAATACGCGCAACAAAATTGCTGCAACAAAATCTGATTTCAATGCATTTTAAGTAGAAATGTTGACAAAACATCTCAATTAACATGCGCAGAAATGAGATTTTGTTGGAAGTTGCAGCAATTTTGTTGCCCATATTAGTATATTACTCCACCTTAATTGCTATTGTCAAATTCCGAATTTACTGAAAGAAAGTATTAAGTAAATTGGACACAATTCAAATATTATACACACATTTAATCACATACTGAACATCAGATATGACAAAAATACGTAAACGACTGTTACGTGCATTTTTCAATAAGCATAAACAGATTTAAGAAGTTACAAAGTATTTTAATGTGTCAAAAATAATTTGCACACTGAACAGACAGAACAGTACAAGGTCTTTAAGACTTTAATATGTATACGAAACAAAATACATCACACGCCGAAATACAGACAGTACGAAAAACACTTAAGACAAGAACAGTTCTTGTTCAAGGACAGCATACATCAAAGACAAAGCATCAGGTTTACAGGCTGCGTATATACAATTTTCGGGAAGTTTGAGTTTCAAGGATAGTCCATGCAAAGATCTAAGGACGATGTTTTCCGGCGGAGTTTGAAAAAGATCAACATATATTTATTTAGTGATGATTGAATTATTTAAACAACGACATAATCGATCTCATATATATTGGTAATGA